TCGAGTTATAACACAGCCATCTTCGATGCATTATTTAAAAATCAGCACTTCTTAATTTAAAGATGCAATATGGGCATGTATTTTTTAATTATTGCTTTTTGATAGTGTACATTGATAGATACATTCGACTATGATTTATCATAACATGAAAACGCTCTTCTTGTAACATACATCTGATTATTGAATCAATGAAACAATAAGAACTTCTAATACGTACAAAAACAATCACTCCACATTACTCCGTATTAGTTGTTTTGATTTCGTATGTAACGAATACTATTGCGTGCTTTACAAACGCAACAGGCTTGGTCTATAGAGTCGAAAAACAATATTGGAAAGTGCACGTTTTTGTCCCTCGAATCTTTAACTATATTTTGCCCAATTTGTAATCTATTGCCTGTTTAATGCTCCTCATTGAAGCTCTCGTGTCGACCCGTGACCTTTCAAGTATTCATTACTAAATGCTCACCTGTAACGCATTAGCAGTGTGCATATTCCTATATTTCGTTGCTATTACAGTCGCAAAGTATAATATTTGAATTTTGGACAATGAATCGGTGGATTACAGTTGTGTTTAACAATGTGCGGCTACATATGTCTAGTTCCCGGAGCTTCCTGCAGTCATGGCATTGTCATACAAATTGGACATAGAAAGGGTTGAGCAATCCGTAAGGCACTGGACAGAAAGTACAGGAGGGGGTAGGTCACTGTTTTTCGTGCAAGTGTTGAGGGGAGGGTTACAGTAATTTATGCAGGCATAAAGAGGGCGCAATTGTGTGTGCAATGTAAGCCTCATGACACCACAGTGAAAGTAGCCGAGATTTTATGCACAGTCGGGTGTTTGTCAGGTCTTATTATTGAATGACATGTTAAAAACATAAGTTATATTCAGATCTATGATGAGAAGCACGGTCTGATGATTTTAATAATAATAATATCGTTTTATAGTATGATTGTAGAATTTTCCAAGCTAGGGGAAACTTTTGTTGGTATGGTGGCTTTGCTGGCATGAAGCCACAAGCATACCTAGTTAACAAGTCACTATGAATAAATGGCTGGTCTAGTATCAACTAAAAATTAGATGTATTACATTACCAAAATCAAAATATATGGTCAGAAATTAAACAGGATAAGCTTTTCATGCATTTTTGAATTTCTTTTGCCTGGGCTCATGTACAAAGATATAGTAGTATGGTCAAAAAGCAAGATTACAGGCAGGCAGTCAGCCATCTCTGATCCGATTGTGAAACTAATTGTCATGGACATGTATCATAACAATGTATAATTTGAAGAGAGAAAAAACATGTCAACAAGATGGCTGCCAGTTGGTCATTTTGAATTCGAACACGAAACAAATCATGGAGGATATATATCTCAACATAAACGATGTTTGTATCAAATTTGAACAAAAAACGATAAATCCTGTTGAAGAAACCACATTTTTGGTCTAAAAGCCTTGGTAATATAGTTGTATGGTCAAAAAGCAAGATGGCCACCAGTCGGCTATCTTTAATCCGATTGTGAAGCAAATTTGTGTGGATATATCTGACAAATCATGCATAAGATACACATGTAAAAAAACAAATTGGCTGCCAGTCGGCCGTCTTTGATCCAATCCTGAAACGAATCCACATAGACATGTATCCTAACATGTATAATGTATGTACCAACTGACAATGCATAATATACCACATTTTCAAAAAACAAAATGGCTGCCAGTCGGCGATCTTTTATCCGATCATGAAACGAATTGTCATAGATATGTATCCAGACATGTATAATGTATGTACAAAAACTGACAAAATATGCATATCATATTTTCAAAAAACAAGATGGCTGCCAGTCGGCCACCTTTGATCCGATCACAAAACGAATCATTATAGACATGTATCCTAAGATGTATATTCCAAATTTGAACAAAATCTGACAAAGCATGTACAAGATACCACATTTTCAACAACAAAATGGCTGCCAGTCTGACATATTAGTTCATATGTCCCAGGTAAAGTACCAGGCACATACAAATAATGAACAGATTTGGTTCACAGGATTCTGAAATATGACTCTGGACGGACGAAGACCTAATTATAAGTCCTTGTTTCGAACTTTGTTCAAGCAAGGACTAATAAAGCTGGCAGGCCCTGATTGCCCAAACTTGGTATCATGTGCATTTTTATAGGCTCACTGTTTAAGTTAGTTTTGAATCTTATTTCATTCAGCATCACACCGATTCAAGGGAGAAATACGCTGAAGATGATTTGGTAAATAAGATTTCAAGGCAAGTTTTTCAACAAGCTTTGGATACAAATCTTCTCGATTATTTTGCAATTATTACTAGAATTCGTTGTACCAGTAAACTTTGGCTGTATCTCAGTATTGTTATAAAAAAGTGTAATAAGATTATAGAATGGTGGTATTGAACATCTCGTATTTTACACACGATTCAATACACAACACTCATGAAGGTACCAGTAAAATTGTTTATGAATCACCCTAATGTGGTACATACAGTATCATACATTGTTCTCTTCTCAATGAGAGCTGGGCTAATTGATTGAAGTAGAAAAGTTCTAAGCTCTGTAGTAGAACAGTAGTATGTATACATAGTTGTAATACATGTACTATCCTTACACTTAGAAGGAGGGAAGGTCACAATTTGTCATGCACCATTCAAGGGGGTGGTCAGCAAATTTCATGCAAATGTTTGTGAAAAGTCACATATTTTGATGTACGCGACACCGGCGCTGTACTTTTTGTCCAGTTCCCAACCACTGGAATTAGGCACAACGAACACATCAGATAACGAGAGGGTGATGCGGGGTTTACTTTGAAAACAACATAAAGACATTGTCGGCGTTATCTGTCAATCTTGCGTACAATGTTGCCGCTTTGATGTTAAAATGTTGTAACCGTATAATTAGAAATGATCTACCTAACCAACTGTAGTAATTTATCAACATTTGGCAGTACTAAGGCTAATCAAAAATATGTAAATGAACATTATTTTGTAGATAGTTATTTGATATCCATATCTTTGTAAAAGCCGATAGAAAACTATATTCTCCATATTATTTTATAAACACATCACGTGAATGCGACATCTGTAGATACCAGCCTCAGAGCGAATTCGTCATCTGCTACCTTAAACACAATCTGTAGAAAAAGTAAAAAAAAACCTATTAAAAAAGGTGCACCGCCGAATTTAAAATGTACTAAATATAACAATTTGGTACAGTGTGCCCATGACCACCATCACTACTATGAATACTAGCATTGTGTTTATATTCGTCTATTCAATTTGAACATTGCTATGAACACCGTATTCTGATTTATTATAATCTAAAAGCATTGCATACAAAATAATATTAGTATGATAATAATAATAAACTAAGCACAATGAATAGTACTATCATCAATCCAAATCACTTTTAGATTGAACGAATATTTTGTGAGTTCTACAAAACAACGTTGTCAGGTTATGGTAATTCGTAATCCAATGTAATATTAACATAAATTGTCGAACATGACATTCTGACATTGTTACACTTTTCCTAGGTCTCTGATTCGGTCAAGGTCAAATCACTGACTTAGGGTGGGTCTACCAACCTATTGATATCGTATTTGGTTTATACGAACATCGCCACAAACGTGTAAAGTATTAACTTGCTGGTAAGCAATTCGGTGACGATATTCCAACAAATGCCTGCCATTGACAGCTACTTTGTAACAGTCATTCTGGCACAATATGATAATTTCAAAATTGGTATTCGCTTGAAATGGAAAATAAGGAGCAGTTTTCTCTTCTGGTCCCCATTTCTTGCCGTGTCTGGTATTGCAGATAATTGCATTAGCTGGGAATCGTGGATTGAAGCGGAATGCGATATCATGACTCTTGTCCTGGTTGTGTCCAATCTGGAGGTGTACACCGAACCTGTAAAAGCAAATAGCGCTTATATATAAATAATATATATATTTTAGCGCTAATTTTCAATGAACAGCAAGAGCAATTATACTGCATTCACACACTACACTCTAAATATGGTAATTATTGATATCACATGACCCTGGCATAATCGAGTCAAAATAACTCGCAAATTAAATTTAACAAATTAACCGGATTAGTATCATATACCTGGTTGGATTGGGAGGCGCTGTCCCGTTTATTATAACCATTTTACCAGGAAACATTCCGTTCGGAATTGCTCCAATATATGGAGTTGACTGAAATAAAATTTTCAAAATATTATATGACGTTCGAAACCTAACATAATGATGTGAATAGTCAAGAGATTATACACTCACATTATAATTAATGAGCTGAATTAATACACCAGTCCAAAGTAGAAGCCATTGTTAATAACATAATTATAAGAATCTGGCACACTAAAACATGAAATATGGTAACTGAGTGGACGTAAGAGATATGAGTCAAAATAGATTAGAAGAGTTGAGTTCGTCGGTCAGTTAAACGAGTTATTCAATTGTAATTTAAATATCAGCCTCGTCACAGATATATTTGATTCTTATTGCACCAACGAAAACACGAACATACATATTTGCATTTAAGGCAATGGTCTACTCTGACAAAACGACGTATTCAGATGAGAGACGTACTCAGACAGGGAGACGTACACAGACAGAGAGACGCATTCAGAAAGAGAGACGTATTCAGACAGAGAGACGTATTCAGACAAAGAGATACGTATTCAGACAGGGAGACGTACTCGGAAAGAGAGACGTATTCAGACAGAGAGACGTATTCAGAAAGAGAGACGTATTCAGACAGAGAGACGTATTCGGACAGGAAGACGTATTCGGACAGGGAGACGTACTCAGACAGGGAGACGTACTCAGACAGAGAGACGTATTCAGAAAGAGAGACGTATTCAGACAGGGAGACGTACTCAGACAGAGAGACGTATTCAGAAAGAGAGACGTATTCAGACAAAGAGAGACGTATTCAGACAAGGAGACGTACTCAGAAAGAGAGACGTATTCAGACAGAGAGACGTATTCAGAAAGAGAGACGTATTCAGACAGGGAGACGTACTCAGACAGAGAGACGTATTCGGACAGGAAGACGTATTCGGACAGGGAGACGTACTCAGACAGGGAGACGTACTCAGACAGGGAGACGTACTCAGACAGAGAGACGTATTCGGAAAGAGAGACGTATTCAGAAGGAGAGACGTATTCAGACAAAGAGACGTACTCAGACAGAGAGACGTACCCAGAAAAAGAGACGTATCCAGACAGGGAAACGTATTCAGAAAGAGAGACGTATTCAGACAAAGAGACGTATTCAGACAGAGAGACGTATTCAGAAAGAGAGACGTATTCAGACAGGGAGACGTACTCAGACAGAGAGATGTACTCAGACAGAGAAACGTATTCAGACAGAGAGACGTATTCAGAAAGAGAGACGTATTCAGACAGAGAGACGTACTCAGACAGAGAGACGTACTCAGACAGAGAGACGTATTCGGACAGGGGGACGTACTCAGACAGGGAGACGTACTCAGACAGGCAGACGTACTCAGACAGTGAAACGTATTCAGAAAGAGAGACGTATTCAGACAGAGAGACGTATTCAGACAGAGAAATGTACTCAGACAGAGAGACGTTCTTAGACAGGGAGACGTACTCAAACAGAGAGATGTACTCAGACAGAGAAACGTATTCAGACAGAGAGACGTATTCAGACAGAGAGACGTATTCAGACAGAGAG